CACATTTAGATAAGAAGATTTCAACAATGCATTAACTGAAAGAAAATTGAAGCGAAAATCTTGAACAAACAACACATCATATAAAACAAGATCATAAGAAAACCGAACTGTGCCTGCAAAACTAACTGGAATAGTGGATCCATTAGGCAAGGTGACTGAACAACTTGTTATGGGAAATAAAGATTCAAAGAGAGTCTTTGAATAACATATATGCCTTGAAGCCCCAGAATATAAAATCCAGTAATCAGATGCCCCAACACATGAACCATTTATGTGTGACATAATATTACCATGCATGATAGTATTAATTGAAGTGGTAGGAATATCCAAAGAAGATGCAGTTTGTAACTGAGAAGTAAGCATGGCAATCAATTGCTGACATTGCTCGGGAGTAAAAGCTTCAGTAAATATAGAAGAACCTTTATGAGAAACCACAGAGTTGGTGTGAGCCACTTGGGTACCTTTACCACGAGAAGAATTCGAAGAAGACCAATTCTTGGAATTATAACCAGGCAGATAGCCAATCAACTTATAACACTTGTCCTTTGTGTGAGCAAGAATTTTACAATGACTACACAAGGGTATGTTCTTGCCACTACCAATGCCAGAATTAGCCTAACAACAAAGGTAGGCTCAGAAATAGGATGAACAGGTTGCACAATTCATTGATTCTCTTCTTGAACAACCAAAGAAAACACCTTTGAAATGGGAGAAAAGGGATCCATTAAAAGAATCTTCCCCCTGATATGAGCATAAAACTCATTCAACCCCATTAAAAAATGAATAAATTGTTCTTGCTGTTGTTCAGCAATCATATGTCGTACTCCTCTACAAGTTCACTGAAGACAACTACATAACTGTCGAATCGAAAATAATTCATCCCAAACAATCTTTAATTGAGTGTAGTAATTACTTACTGACATTTGATATTGCACGAGCTCACACAATTGCTTCATTAAATGAAACAATCGTGGCCCATTTGACTGATGGAAATGATCAACCAAATCTTTCTACATTTCAGTTGCAGTTGTATGATACATCAAACTCGCAGCAATGTCTTTGGAAATTAAATTGAGAAGCCAAGAATTGACCAATTTGTTAGCTCCTATCCAAGCGTTGAACTGATTTACCATGGACGAATCAAGAGATGGAATGAAACCAGCAATGAAACCAAGTTTATTCTCGACAGAGAGGGCAAGCATCATCGATCTTTTCCAACTATGAAAGTTATCATTGGAAAGCAGTTGGCTCACCAATATCATACCAATATTATCAGATTGATGCAAATAATAGGGATTTGCTCCATTATCGAAACTATCATTCAAGGAATTATCCATGATGAAGCGTAAAAAAAAAAATCAAACTTCAGATACCGTATAACAAACAAGAAACTGGAAATGGAAGAATGCTTTTTTTCACTTGTATACAAAAGAAGATTACAAAGTTGTTTATATACGGCTATAATATTAATTAACTAACCCGTATTATAAAACAGAATAAAACGACTAACTAATTACAGTTAATGTATCCTAATATTCATCTTCCACAATTGAGCCTATTGATCTTGTGGGATCCACCGGAATTAAAGAAGGATGGGTCTTAATCTTCCCAAATTTGATAATGTCCCACCATCTGCGTCTGCAAATCTTTCTCATTCAATTGAGATATCATCAAAGGAGTGGTGGGAATCATTGGAATGGGATGGTCCCCTACCCAAGTCTCTTTTCGACCCCTTCGTGAGGACATGGTAAAAGGTACAGGGAGGATCAAACGGAGCAGTTGAGTTTGTAACATTGGCAGTGTTTTTATTTTCTTATTTAAGCGAAGCTTAATTTGATGAATTCTAACTCTATTAATTATTTATATTTGACTCGATCGTTCCTCATTTTATTATTTAATTACAAGAGTATTATATGTTCAAAATTTTTCTTAATCATTGACAATACGCGCAACCCTGTAGGAGCAGTTAGTTGAACCCAATACCTCAAAAAAAAATATTTAATTTAACCACAGAAACCGCTTGATTGGTTCTCATTACTTGATAAAATTTTAAACTCACACATCACACCAAATTATAATATAGTCGTTAAATCATAGGGTAGGTTTTATTTTGACCATTGAAATGTGAATTTTGTTAATTGGGTCATTAAACAATTAAATGATTTTAATAAGTCATTAATAGTTAACATAAATGGTAATATATCAAAAATGTAAATTTATATAATTTATATAAGTCATTAATCGTTAATATAAATGGATTTTGAAGACAAAATTCTTTTTAGGAGGGGAGTATTAGCAAATTATCAATGGAACAATATATCGATCTTTATTCTTTCGAAAATACCATTCTCCACCAACATATCAATAAACAATTTTTGAGTGACTTATCCTTGACGAGACTTTTGATAAACTCGGGAGATTTATCCTGAACAAATATATTAAATGGGTTCAATTTTTTTAATAATCTGGATGATTACAAGGTAGTATCTGTCTAGAATATTTCTTAGCCTATATTGACAACGTGCACACTCATTACAGATGCAACTGTTTGAATCTAAATTCTCTAAGAAGAACAATATTTTATTTTAACACTAAAACCCATCAATGAGTTCTCAAAGATTAACTTCAATGTTCGTTTTACGAGGACCTTATAGAGTCATGGGATGCAACAAGTATGTTAAAGAACCAATGATTTAGCAATCCTTTTAAATAATGAAATTTGTGTGTTTAACCTTGTTTTTATTGAGCTAAAAATCATAAGCGATTTTGAAGTTGAAATGCTGAATCGATTATAAAAAAACTTTGATTCTTTATTGAAACTTGGTGAGTTATAATGAAATTTTATTACTCATAAAAAAAGGGAAAAACAACGTGCCAAACATATTTTTAATTATTAGTTATAGTGAACAAAACAACCTATTCTTATCTCTCCTTGTTGAACAATTCCTAGAATGAAGCATCATTTTCTGATATAAATGTACAACAGTCTCTTCCAACTAGGGCAGTAAACGAGTCTAGATGAGTTTGAATATTGTTGAACTCTACATGATTTGAAAAGTGTAAATTTGTGCTCAATTTAACTCGAAAATTCATATGTTTAAAATTATCAAGCTCGAATCGAACTCAAAATAAAAAATTGAAACTCAATTTAATTAAAGAGTTGATCAAACTTTAACTGAATTAATTTCGAGAAACTCGCAATTTATCTTGTCTCATTTACAGTCTTATACCGGATTGGTTTCGAGAAAAGAAAGGAGCAGACCCCCTTTCTTGCTTGAGTTGGATTGCTGTTTTCTAATGTCTTAAATGGAATTGTCCCCGGGCTATTATAGTTGGAATCTTGGACCACTTTGCCAGAAATGGAGACACCCAATAGTTATTGTGCACACTTCCCACACTGTAGGCATGTTTAACGAAAATACTGATTAAATTATTTGACGAATTTTATATCATATTTTGTGTGGTAATTTATGTATACTTATCGTTAAATTATTTTATAATAAATTATTTTAAAAAATATATTTTTATAATTTTAAAATTATTTAATAATATAATAAATAATTTTTAATGATTTCTACTAACATTGTCATTGCTTTCAAACATTGACTCGTCAGTATAATATTTTAAGCATTGACTCGATAACATAATGTAAATGGATATTTGATCTACAAAGTATAACTAAAACGATTGAGATTAATCAATAGCTATTCATTCATGAGAAACTCAAAATATTACAACTGTTGGCAATTTAGAAAATTAGGGTTTTAGGGTAAAAGAATTCCCATAATCATTTTCTAGTAGTAATGACTATAAGGAAAGCGAATTAAAAATTTAGTAACTTTAACGTAAATTTTAAAAATTCAATTATCAAAATGAAAGTATACTAAAAATCAAAGACTATCGGTGTAGTTTACCCTAGTAAATAATAACAATAAATATCTAAGCCTCAATTTATTGTCAAATCAGTAAAAAGATGAATAAATAAAATCGACATCACTAACAACTTGTTGGTCTAGTTGGATGAGACACTAAATCTCTTAAGTAAAATTGAATTCAAATTTTGACATTTGCGAATGAAGTAAGTTGGATTAGGAGGACCGCTCTCGTCCCTGTAGTATTCGATTCGAATTAATCAATTAATAAATCGAATATTATTAATTATACCAAAAAAGCTGCATCATCATAAATACCAAACATAGTCTCATCATAAATACCAAACATAGTCTGTCGTCTTGCTTTGTTGAATTGGGGTAGTTGAGCTGTTGAAGATGACATACCAATTTCTCTCGATTAAATGCATTGGAAAGAGCGCGTTTATTTCACACTTCATTTAGAAAGTGGGGCAAGTTTGGGCTCTGTGATTTATGGTTCTAGCCTCCCCCAATCCAGTCTAGTTCGATTAGTTTTTTAAATTATTTTAATATATATTATTTTTTATTTTTATATATATTTTATATTATATGAATATTAAATAATTAAAATTATGATATAAAAGGTTAAAAGTAAATAAAATAAATTACAAATTTGGTTACTGAACTTTACTCTATCTTATTTTATTTACTGTATTTTAGATCTTTTCAATTTTCTCACTGAACTTAATACATTGAATTTTTTAGTTACTCAATTATTTTCTTACTAATGACGTTATAAATGGGTGGTTACTGTACAAACATCTCAGATAATTAAAAAAACTTTTATCTCATTGAACTCATCAACCTCATAAATTAAATATAATATTATTCTTCTTATAAATTCCGGATTTGATAAATCGTGTCTGTAAGTACGTACATCATCGATAACTACCTTATAATTGCTGCGAACTATTAAAATGGAAACTTTTATCTTTGGCTCAATCCGCTTTAATTTTTCCTCAATGAAACTATAAACTATCATTTGCAATGTGAAAAGTTCACACCTCTACTTTCTAGTACCTGTCAATCTCTCATGAATGGGATGCTTTTAAAAGAAACCTACATATATGTTTCCCTATAAATTTAGAAGAAGGAATTAAACAATTTCCCAAAGCTTTGCAATTTAATGGCATTAGTCAGTTTTTTTGAAGTTTTCTTGCCTCTCGTTTGCTTTCTGTTTCTATACTGCTCGAGAAACAAAGATGGGAGTCCAAGGAGTTATCCGATTGTTGGGATGATGCCGGCGCTGCTCCTCAACGTTCATCGGATTCACGATTGGTGTACCGAGATTCTCGAGAGATGCCACTGCACTTTCCTTTTCAAAGGCCCTTGGTCTGCTAACATGAACCTGATGCTGACCTGCGACCCTGCCAACATTCACCACGTTATGAGCTCCAACTTTGCCAACTTCCCCAAAGGATCCGAGTTCAAACAGTTGTTCGACATACTGGGAGACGGTATTTTCAACTCCGACATGGATCTGTGGAAAAAACAGAGGACGGTTGCTCAAGGATTCATGAGAACTCACCGATTTCATAATTTTTTGTCGAGGACTTCCCATTATAAGGTGGCACACGGGCTCGTTCCTGTTATGGACCATTTTGTCAAACGAGGTCTAGTGGCAAACTTGGAAGATATATTCCAAAGGTTCACGTTCGATTCTACATGCATCTTGGTTACTGGCCATGACCCTAGATCCCTCTCCGTCGAATTCCCGGAAGTTCTTTTCACCAAGGCCCTGGATGATGCCGAGGAAGCGATATTTTATCGGCATGTCAGGCCACCATGGTTTATTAAGTTGCAGAGGTGGCTGAACATGGGACAAGAACGGAAATATGGAAAGGCGTGGCATGTTCTTGATGATATAATAGCCGAATATATATGGCAGAAGAGGAAAGATTTGAACCGAGGGTCGAATTCGACATCAGAAATCGTCGAAGAAGGCGTGGATCTATTAACATCGTACATAACCGAAGAGAAGTCAATAGGTTTAGAATGTGACGATAAATTCTTGAGAGACACCATTTTGAGTATGATGCTTGCAGGGAGGGACACCACAAGCTCTGCTCTTACTTGGTTCATTTGGCTGGTTTCCCGTCACCCGATAGTCGAAAACAAGATCATAGAAGAGCTTCAATCGAAAATAACCGAAGAAGAAACCGGAAAGAAGCGATTGTTCAAGGCTGAGGAAGTAAAGAATTTGGCTTATCTACATGGAGCATTATGTGAGGCCTTGAGGTTATATCCACCACTTCCTTTTCAGCACAAGGAACCACTCAAACCAGACGTGCTTCCTAGTGGGCATGCGGTTCATCCAAATATGAAAATCTTGTTCAACATGTATTCAATGGGAAGGATGAAGTCGATCTGGGGGGAAGATTGCTGTGAATTCAAGCCTGAGAGATGGATTGACGAGCGAGGAGGTATTAAACATGAGCCATCGTTCAAGTTCTTGTCTTTCAATGCAGGGCCAAGGACATGTTTAGGGAAGGAAGTTGCTTTTGTTCAGATGAAATCCGTGGCATCGGCTATAGTCTACAATTATCGTATCTGTGTATCGGATGAAACTCCAGTTGTTCCGGCTGTATCCATCATCTTGCACACCAAGGATGGACTGATGGCTAAGATTTCCACTAGATGGGACTAAATGCTTGGTTGAAAGCCTGTTATTATTATTATTATAATCGCCGTCGTCGTCGCTTTCGTGGTCGTCTGAAATCTGGGATTGTTAATTTCAAATGTAGTTTTTATTTTCTATCTTTTCCACTCTGAAATCTAGCAAGTCACGAAGAATGATCCACTCGGTTATTAATCGGTGCTTACGTAAAGAATAATGGAGTAATACCAAAAGATGATTCTAATGTTTGTTTAAATAGTTCTGTTGGCTTCTATTTATTTCGAGTATTTTTGTCCTTACGTTTCAGTTTAGGATAAAAATACTCATAACGTTTGACTAAATATTTACTTTAACCCCTGTTCTTTTTTTGGAAAGCATTTTGGTCTCAACATTTTATTTCAAGGCAAAAATTCTTAATTTGGAGCGTTAACAATTTGTTGACTAACGGTTTTTATTCACGAAATGATTTTCTCCCAAAATGAAATGCTAAATTCCAAAATACATCAATATATATATATATATATATATCAAAATAATTATTTAATCGAACGTTAATTTTTTTATCATTATCCCAAGAATAATCAACAAAACAAATTAAGCCACTAATTCTACTCTCACCTTTTTGGAAAGAATATCATCACTCATCAATAACCCCAAATTTATGTCTATATCACATAGACCAGATTTTACGTTAAAAATTTACTAATAAAAGATTTCATTTAAAACATTATAATTTGGATTTTTATTTTTATAAAATATTTTTATTAACATATTTGAACTATAAAATAAAATCATTTAAATGTGTATGAAAGCTTTTTAAAAAGTTTGAATGTGTCATATTTGTGCATTGATCGTCTTCAACAATTATAGTTCTTACTTGAGCCAAAAATTCGTTAAAGTACTACTATCCAATCTTCAACAACTTAATTCTTACGTAATATCTGTTAAAGCACCATTGGATCGACCGGAAATTACTCCCTCTATAACTGAAAATTCATTAGAGCAAAATTCATTATGCATGTCTCCAAAACTGCTAACAAAATCCGCAACAACAAATTCCTTCAAAATTTCATAGCTCAAATCATAGCTATGATACCACTTGTTAGAAATTTGTAAGCAGAAAACAAACATTCTGTGATCAGCATAGAAATAAGATATGTGCAAGAGACGAGATTTAACTTGGTTCGACATTGACTATCTCAACGAACGAGAAAAACAAATAATCTACCTTAAATGTAGATATCACAAACATTACAAATACATGGTATCTCATGTATCTCAGAACCCGATATATATCTTAAATCTCGTGTACAAATACATCCGATATTTAACATTTGATTGCAAATAAATTCTATATATTATGTGTGAACTAAATGATGATATATTACGGATAATATTTTGAAATTAAATTCATTAAACTTATTCAGAATTTCATACAAAGAAACCAAAAAAGGAAAGGTTAATTAAATTGTAGTCAAATAGTAATCAATATTTTTTGGAAATATTTTAGAAAATAGAAAAGGCAAAAGCATAACAGTGTACCGTAATTTAAGCAAATTTTTAAAATAGGTTTCCTTCAAAATACTATAAAAAGGTGATATTAAAATAACCCTAATTAACAAAACCGAAGATATATCATGGGAGTCCCTAGCATGAAGACTTGGCTAATTTGCTTGGCAATAATCAGCATGGTTGCCGTCGATGAGATGATCCAAGTGGATGCGGCGGCGACGCCTCTTGATGGAGGAGACTCAAATCTCAGCTTCAACCGTCGTCTTCTCCAGGATCCTGTTAATCCCTGGCAACGTGGCTGCTCAAGAATCACCAAGTGTCGAGGAGGCAATGGTAAATGAAGAATAACTTGATAATGTGAAATGGGAGTTGTCTCAGATTATATATAACTAAGAGCCTTAGCATGTTAAAGCAATATGTCTAGTTTTTGAACCCTACTGTTTCATGGGAGTTCATTTGATTTAACTCAGAATAATTATATTAATGTAAAATAAACTTTAATGAATTTGAAATTTTGTTTTTCCAATATGATTCAGTTTAGTTTAGTGATTGTTTGCATTATGTTTTAGAATCTTAAAGATAAGATTGATGAATTTATAAAATTTTAGGGGCATAAAATTAAATAATAAATAAAAAACACAATATATAAGAATTTAAAACTTTTTTGGAGGACGATTGTCTCCAACCGCTCCCCTCCAATTAGAGGTGGAAGACAATATATAGGGATATGTGGGGTCACGGTCTCCCAAAAATTTTAAAAAAAATTATAATTTAGGCTTTCAAAATTTTCAAAAAATTTAATTTATTCCTCACAAAACTTTTAAAAATTCATATTAAACTTTAATTTTTTAATGTTCTTAATTAAATCCCTTACATAATTTTTAAAAATTCTCATTAAGTCTCTCAAAATTTCAAAATTTTTAGTTAAATCTCTATTTTCTTGAAAAATTGTAAACTTAACCTTTCAAAATTTTTGAAAATTTTAATTTAAACCTCGAAGTTATTTAAAATTTTAAATTAAGCCTCCAAATTCTATCACCTAATCTTGTCATTGTCTTATATCCATCCCTACTCATAGGAGTAGTTGTTACAGACTCATCGTCGTCGTCATCTTTATCTCTTGAATTTTTTTAACACTGTCAAGCTGAAACTATCTTTTTCCTTTCTCTTTATTGGGTTTGGGTTTCTTGCGGCTTTAATTCTCCAGTCGAATAACAGCTCGGATAAGAGACAAGTTTTCTAACATCCTCGAATTAATCTAAACTCAAAAATTATATAAAATTAACGTATAATTATTTTTAATAAATATTTTATTAATTAAAATGTCAAGGAGATATACCCCATTAACTTATGTTAATCAATCCTTATTCTTCTTTGGGAAATATCTTATTAACTCATAACTTTATCTATTAAACAAATGTGATTACAAAGTAGTATTTGTTTTAAATATTCTCAACCATTTGACAATGAAGGTTTAATCACATTTAGAGTCGTTGGTTCTCGAACTTATTAACCTCTAAAAACAACGATTCTTTTAACCACTGAGGTAAGTTGATTTGTGCCAATGTATTAAAAACTTTGTTTTTCAAATATGATTCAGTTTAAATTAATTAATAATTGGTTGTATTATGTTTTAGAATTGGATTGGACTAATTTCGGATTGGTTGATTTCAACCCATGAAATAAACTATTAACGATCTCAATGACTCAACTACCCATCTAATTTTTATAACATTGATCGGTTGATTTCAACTACCCATCTAATTTTTAATTTTTTAATATTCTTAATTAAATTCCTCTCATAATTTTTAAAAATTCTCATTAAACCTCTCAAAATTTTAAAATTTTTAGTTATACCCATTTTTTTGAAAAAAAAAACTAAATCCTTCAAAAATTTTGAAAATTTTAATTTAAGCCTCTACATTTTTTAAATTTTAAGTTGTCCCCCTAAATTATATCATCAAGCTTCGCCATTGCTGAGGTCCCAAGTTCCTTTTTTTTTTACTTTGATAACGTTTGGAGTTTGAAAGTTCCACCAAAAGTTCAAAGTTTGGTTCCTTAGTTTTATCACATAACAGTTAACATGTTAACGTCCAGCTCATACGACTACCAGTTTTTTTAATAAAAAATGAATTTCGAACATATGAATAGTCGAGTGACCATTTTATAACTTATAATAGTCAGGGTATTCAATAAAGCAGCATCATATAATCGGATATTTATTTTGTAATTTTTAATAGTCTAAGTATTTAATAAAACAATGCCTAATAACAGGGGACTATTTGTGTAATTTACTCATAACAATAATATATTTTTTGTTTTCCTAATATAAAATTAATAATCTAGCTGATGGACCAGGACGACCACACTATTTTAAGTAGCGAACCGTCATGTCTGGAATTAATTACGTCAGTGGTCCATTTGTGGCCTCTACTTTCAATAATATAGCAGTGGACTAATAAATAAGATTTGTACAATAAATCAACTGCATACGACAAAGATGCATCGATATGTGGCACCTTCGAACAAATTATTAATTAGTTGTTTGTTACAATCTGATATCGTATCATAAATAACTGACACATGAGATTGAATGATTGAATTGGATACTTATCAAACAAGAATGAAAAATTTGTTAACTACATAATTAAAATTTATAATAATTTTATAATTTTTTTAACTACATATTTTTTATAATAATTTTATGATTGAATAGTATATCATTTGATTTTTTTATTAAATATATCATTTGATTTCTTTTAATATATAGATTCATCTTTTGTATTTGTTTGACTCAAGAATTTAAATTTATTACCTATTTAACATTAACATTTATATATTCTTATAATTGAAAAAAACTTTAAATAATAAAAAATAGGATAAATTATAAATTCTAACGCTAAACTTTGACCTCAATTTTGTTTTTGTCATTAAAATTGAAAAAAATTGAATCAATCACTAAATTTTGAATTTGCTTTTATTTTGGTCTGCCTCGTTAAATTATTGATGGAAAGGATGATATGAGAGTCATGTGTGTTGACATGAATTATTTTTATTTTGGTCACATCATTTTTCCTCTTTTTCTATTTTTGATTTTACCTCATTCTCTTAAAAATAAAAGTTTTACAATTTTAGTTTTCTGTCACATTGACGTAAATCACCATTCATTTGTTTCTTCTCCTATCATTTAAGATACTGACAAACTCATCACATTATTCTCTAGCGATCTAGCAATTTATATTTTGTCAAAATTGTTTTAAAACTCGCAAAACATCAAATCACTTTGATCCACAACATCCAATCAATGTAGAACCAACATATATCGCTCGTTTCCTCCTTCTCCACCTCTTCACCGTTGATATTTGAAAGAAGAAGCTCCGTTATCGAGAAATCAAAAGGAAACTGAAACTTGGATGATTTTTCAAAAAATGAAGAAAGTTATTGAATCATTTCAGAATTTTTAAACGAAAGATATACAATCATAACAACGTAAAAGTATTTAACAATATAGTGAACAAAATAAGAGAAAACCGAAAGTTCGGTGATTAATTAAAATTTTTAAAACTTTAGTTACTAAAATAAGAGTGGGAAGAAAGTTGAGTGATGAAATTTATAATTTACACTAAATAATAAACTGCATTAAGTCAAATCAATTACAAATATTGTTTGTTCATAACCATTGATAGATATAGTAATAACAGTGAATCAGATATATATAATTTTTGGATCATTTAAATTTAAATATATTTTTATTTTTTCTATAAATTATCTTAATATTATTACCTTGATCTGAATCTAAATTAAATACTATTATATTCTAAATATATGAATTTGTATAAATTTAAATTTGAGTCAGCTAAAATTTAAATAACCAAATTTTGAATATTCTTAGAAGAAAATATATTATACATTTTATAATATGGAATTGGATTCAAATACCCACATCCACATATATAAACTCGAATAACGGAGATTTGAGGATATTTATTTTTATCCACTCCAATTTCATAGAAGACAGTATATTTTAATATACAAATCATATTAAATGTAAGTTTGGTATTTAATTAAGTAGGGACAGATCGAGAGAGTGGGAAGTTGTTGTATCCTTTAATGAAATTAAATTTTCATATAATTTAGATATTTTATTTATATTTTATATTAATAATTTAATTCCGCACCAAATAATTTTTTATTATAATTTCTTAAAGGTTCGTATCCCTTATATAAAATATTACATTTGTACTCGTTAAAATAAATATTTTTTAGTTATTTTATTTAAAATTTATATAAACACTACGAAAAATATTATTATAATAATGACATTAAATATTTTTTAAAATAATTTGAGGTGAGTAAAAGATATTATATTTTCATAATATTTTGTAGTTATTGACAATACATACACCCTGCAGACAGAGTCGTCTCAGACATTTTTGGGCCTTAGCTAAACTAAAAATGTCCTTATAGAACGAAAGTATATTCTATTACTTTTGAACAATTAATTTAATATTACATTAATAAATCTTAGAAAAATGATTAAACTAGAGGCCTAAATTATAAAAGTAAAAAGTGGGAATGAAAAATTAGGGGCTTCAATTATAAGGTAGAAAGTGAGATTAAAATAATTAGGGGCCTCAATTATAAATGTAAGAAGTGATATTGAAAAAATTAAAGGTCTCGAATCTTGATTATAAATATAAAAAGTGTGATTTAAAAATTAGAGGCTTCAATAATAAAGAGAAAAATAAAATTAAAAAAATTAAAGACATCAATTATAAAAATAAAAAGTACGATTGAAAATGTTGGGTCTTAAAATAGGGGCCTTGAGGGCCTTGAGCAGATACATAGGATGTTCTCCTTTAGTTTACCCGGTCTACAGACATAATTATTCAAATCTAAAACATCTAAAAAGAATAAAACTTCGAATAACACCTTTTTAAACGAGTTAAATCGCTTAATGAATTCAATATGACATTTAATATTTGGACCATTTGCGTTTTCATTTTAAGAATGTCCCTACATTGGATTTGAAACAACTGGAGCTAAAGAAGCCAACGTTTGCCACTGCTTAGTAATGAATTGCATTGGTCCTGAGAGGATAAGTTCCGTGACCGATTTTTTTAAAAATGATTTTCTAGATCACGTTGAAATATTTTTAAAAAGTAGTGCCAATGGGTCGGTTTTAAATTAGTTTTATGACAATGATTTATCACGACATAATAAAATTTAATTATAACATTCAATTATATTATATTTTAGCCAATATTAATGTTTTATTTTGTAACGACACTACAATTTTTTTAATAATATAAAAAATTTATCCCACCATGATTATTATTTATTAAAATGATTTTTGTAAATATATTTTCACATGAAATACTTTTAACCATATTATTGGTGTGACTAGATTTAATTAGAATTTATATTAATACTTTGATAATTCGATTAGAATAATATGAAGTTTCTTGATCAATTTGAAATTTAACCACAATTTAATGATGCTGGATGAAATGAACCAATAGATATTCTAAATATTTGCTCGTAAATAGGGGTGAAATAAACTTGATTCGATTTAGAAAACCAACTCAAGTCAACTCAAAAAAAAATTAACAAAATTTGAATGATAAAATATGACTTGCCAACTTGACTAAGTTGAAAATATTTAACTCGACTAACTCGAATATTCAACCATAATTCTTTGTACCCTTAATTCTTCTGTCTCAACTTTATTTTTGATCAAATTTAAATCACATGCTCCTCTAATACTAGAATATCTATGTAATTTCAATTCATACAGAATATATATGTAACTTCAGTTTCTATAAAAAATATAGGTAACTTCAATTCATATTTTTAACAATAAATCTACTTTTTCTTTTACAATTTAATCTGTAAACTTATAAAAAAAATAAAGACTCAGACTCTAGGTTGAAGGGGTTTGTCCTAGTTTTCTCTCTTTTCTTTGACCACCGTTAGTCTCTTTTCTTATTCATCTTTTTGATCGACAGTGGCACTAGCTTTGGTGTTGGTTGTCGACTGTCAGTATGTATTATTTTTCTTTTATTTTATTATAGCGTATCTTTATTTATTTATTTTTATTTTTTAATTTTTAATAACTCTACCTTTATGGAACGTTTTCGGTCATTTGACCGTTGTTTTTGTTTATCTTTTTTTAAGGGTTGAATTTGACATCGCCACGACTGATCAATGTGACACTTATTTATTATCATGTTGGTCTTTCATGCTTTGGACCATCATATTGGATTTAGATACATGAATTGCGTTCGTGAATAGTTTTTCACGTCGCTCGACTCTGATTTGCAGTTTGTCAGTGGTATTTCAATAGGTTGATCCCCTTTTGTGGTTTGTTTGCTGATGCAGTCAGATCTATTCGAATCTACCTTTTGTTTGAGTTTATTTGATTAGGGTTTTAACATTTTCCTTGTATTGTCTTTTTGTGATCTTAATAGACTAGTTTTCTTATGCTAATGATTATAGGAAAATATTTTTATTATGTGTTTAATTTACGATTATAATTAAACCTTTATTGTAATTTGTATATTTTCTATTTTTAATAAAAATAGTGACTCCTATTAAAAAAACTATGTATTTTATTCAATTTGTTTTTATTGCTTTTTTACAATTTTTCTCTTCTCATCATTCCTTGATTCCTTCATACTCTCATCGATACTTGATTCCTTCATACTCTCATCAATACTTTTTTCTCAAAATACATTTTTTAAGAAATAAAATTATCAATTTATTTTATAATTTTAGGTGGTATTTTATCAATTAAATAAAATTATAGTGTGAAAAAATGAATATATATATATATATATATCTTATATACTTAGAAAATTTGTTAAAATGGACTAATCCAAACCATAACATAAACTCAAAAACTTGACTCGATTCGATTAAATTCAAATTTTATAATTTTAATTAAAAAAATCAAATAAAATTCAAATCCTAAATAAGACTAGTTGATTTAACTAACTCAAAAAATTATTTTACTCTAATCAATAAATACTCATTTTTAATTATACATATCAATAATTATAAAATTATAAATACTATTTGAGTGTCCACGTGCAAATCAATTCCTATATACAAAATTCTCTTAGTATTAAACTAGATTATGCAGCATTATATTATGTGCGAAGGGAAATATTTTAAGTAAAAATATATAATAAATTATCATCAGTAGAATCATAAAAAAATATATACAAATCTATCATTCACAAAGCAAAACAGAAAAAGGGAAGCCACCAAAACATTAAAAAAAACACACAGAAAAGATATGTCACCAAGCAAAAGTGCAGAAAGAGTAGCACTATTGGCAAAGGGCAGCCATGGAAACGAAGAAACAAAGGAAAGATGGTGGAGTATGAGGAGAGTTTTGGATTTGGAAGAGGCAAGACATCAACTTATGTTGTCGTTACCAATGATTATTTCCAACATTTCCTATGACTTCATTACGTTGGTGTCTGTCATGTTTGCTGGCCACCTCGGTGAACTTGAGCTTGCCGGTGCCACTCTTGCCGATTCTTGGGCTAGTGTCACCGGTTTCGCTTTAATGGTAAGTATCTTTCACGTATATATATACGATAATTCCAACCTAAACTTATATTAATCATCTTGTTTCAGATAGGATTAAGTGGAGCACTTGAAACACTTTGCGGTCAAGGATTTGGTGCAAAATCATACAGAATGTTGGGGCTTCATCTCCAAGCATCGTGCATCGTCTCTTTCTTCTTCTCTATTATTATATCCATCTTATGGTTCTACTCTGAATCAATCTTCATTTGTCTTCACCAAGATCCACAGATTTCGAAAATAGCTGCAATGTACCTCAGGCATTTGATTCCAGGTTTATTTGCATATGGTTTCTTGCAAAACATTTTGAGGTTTCTTCAAGCTCAAAGCGTTGTCATGCCGCTTGTCTGGTTTTCGATTCTTCCTATGGTATCCCATTTCGGCATCGTTTACATCCTGGTTAACTGGACGAGTACAGGTGTAAAGGGAGCTTCAATGGCTGCTTCGATTTCGTTATGGATATTATTCGTTTCGTTGGCAATGTATGTTACTTGCACCAAGCAACTGAAGCAAACCTGGGAAGGATTGTCGTCTGAATCATTTCGTCACATTTTTACATTCCTCAAAGTGGCCCTCCCTTCTGCAGCAATGAATTGGTATGATTTTCAAAATGTACATAACATTTATGTCATGTTTAGCATACGTTATCTAAGATAATCTTACATCTTGAGAATCAAATTCATCTTTAAATACGCAAAGATACATATCTGTGTTTGACATTATAATTATCTCTATAGATTAATTATTTTATTCATTTTGTCCTAGTCTGGAGGATTGGGCATTTGAACTTCTGGTGCTGCTAGCCGGATTGATGCCAAATTCAAACATATCTACTTCACTGATTGCAATGTGGTAAGTTTTGCTCTATTCATTTTCGAATAAACTATATCGATGATCACTTAACTATGGGTAGATTCTAATATGATCATCGATCTTTTAATTTTATCAATCAAATCATCTAACTATTTAAATAACGACAATCAAGTCACCAGCCGTTAATATTTAATAGAGTAGCTGACGTAGTAGTCAACAAAATTGGTATAGTTACACATTTGATCTTTAAGTGGTTAGGACGCATACTATTTCCCCACACATAAAGACCAAACGTGTAATTATACAGATTTTGTTAACTATCACGTCAATTAATTCATCAAATGTTAACGACCGGTTATTTAAATAGTCAAGTAGTCTGATTAACAAAATTGAAGGATTGGTGGTCAAATTAGAATCTACCTATAGTTAAGAGGTAATGGGAGTAGTTTACCCTTATTTTATTTTGAAAAATCTCTTGTTACTTGTTTATTAAGTTTGATAATAATAATAATACACTCCCCCCATTGTATTTAGTGTAAATACACAAACCACTGCCTTCATGGTTACAGGCGGGGTAAGTGCTGCAGCAAGGTTAGTGTTCGTCCCAATGAGCTTTTAAGTCTATCAATTTTTACAGGTACATGAAATGAATGGCATTTGTATGACAGCACAAGGGTTGCCAATGAACTGGGAGGTGGGAACCCAGAGAAAGCTAAAAGTGCAATGGCTGTGACACTCAAGCTCTCCACCATTCTTACGCTTGCAATCGGCCTAGCTTTAGCCTTCGGTCACAATGTTTGGGCTGCTTTCTTTACTGATAGTTCCTCAATCATATCCCGATTCGCCTCGATCACACCCTTCCTTGTCGTCTCAATAACTTTCGGTTGTTTTCAAGACATTCTGTCAGGTTCATTCATCTACCTCAATCTTTTCTTTTCTTTTTTTTCGATTCGAAACTTTTTAACAACAATACTAAACTCGGATCTGAATACGATGTTGCAGCCGTAGCAAGGGGATGTGGTTGGCAGCCCTTAGCTGCATGGGTCAACTTGGGGACTTACTACTTCATTGGTATTCCAATTGCATGCCTTCTGGGATTTATGCTCAAACTCTATGATAAGGTGAACTGTATAATTTTGATTTTTATGCTAAATTCATATTATAATGTTTGTTAATTCTTATTGATTTCTATCTAAACTTTAATTTTTCTTCTTCCTCAGGGTTTGTGGATTGGCATAATATGTGGCCTGTTTTGCCAAAGCATTGCTCTCTTATCATTTGCATTGTTTAGGCAGTGGTCTAAAATTGATATTTCAGTCGAAATTGACGAGGAAACTCAAGTTTTTGTTTAACTAAACTCCACCAGGAACAAATCAAGGCTTAATGTACATCAACTACATTTGGGTTTCTTGAATATCTCAAGTTAATTGGAACAATTTCATTCTACTTTAATTCAATAAATTATATATTGCTGGGAGAAAATAAATGTATTTTCCAAATAAGGAATCATGGAATTGAATGAAATATTTGGATGTCAAAAACTATACATGAAGTACATTATGCAATTTAATTTAAAGGAGACAAAAATTGTACATGAAGTACCTTATACAATGTATAAAATAATGAAAAAAAATAAAGATAAAAATTACATATAATATATAATTTATCAAAATTTATATAAATTAAATTGTTATCATCATAATATGAACGCATTATGATTTAGATTTGAATTTCGTTGTTCTAATTTTTATAAAAATATAATGATAAATTTATTATTATGAAATATTTTTAAAGGAATTTGAAAGAATCTAGACCAAATTTATTGAGTTCACGGTATTTTTAGGTGAAATAAACACCGAATTAGTGTTTGGGGATCAAAAGGGAGTGAATTATAAAATTTGAGGTCTAACGGTCATTGATAATAATGACCAATGGTTAGCAGTGACAACAATCGATGGTGACCAACAACAGTGATTAGCAACGATTGACGATGGAGACTTTCATTGGATTCATGTGTCAAATTGAAATTTTACCTAAACTTTAGGAGTTAAATTAATATTTTATCTAAAGTTCATATTTATATTAGTATTTCCCCCCTAACATTAAGGGGGTCAAGTTAAATCTAACTATTTTACTTGCATGTCATTTTATCAAACTAATGAAAGTTAGCAGCCTAGTGATCGAAACGTAATGAATCAATAACGTAAATAACTAAAATATTATTTTTAAAAATATATAATTAAAATAAGATAGACAGAAAACAAACAAAATCATTAATATATTTTACTCTATACAAATTCTATACGTGGATAACTTTTTTATTTAGATTTTTAACAAAATCATGTTAAAATAAGTTGACAGACATATTCACTGTTTAGCGTGTTCTAAAATAAGCAAGTAAATAAATAATATTTAAATTAAATTATTACATATAAATTAGTTTTATTTATTTTATAAAAATATAAATAATATTTATAAAATATATTTAAAAATATACTTTTTACTGTTCTATGATTAATGTATTTGTTCATGTGCGATCCTATAATGCGGCTCATGCAAGCTGACGCGAATATTTTTAAAGAACTAATGGTTGATCGTGTGGAATAGGGGAAGTACTTAATGTTACTGTTGCTGTCAGGGGTTATTGATCAGTTGCGGTGAACCGATCTGATTTGTTGGACGATTAGCTATTAGCGATGTTGTTTGTAGGTTATGTACAATGGTTGTGCATTCATGGTGTTTACTGGTACTTTTATCAAGTCCTAACTGACTGTAGTTGAACTGAGCTGATTGTTTGTCGGCTTACTATTAGCGATGTCGTTTTATTTACATCGTGTTTAGCGTGCATGCATGGTGATTTAGAATTGTCGGAAAGCTATAGCAATGAAGCCAATCTATATGATGTATCAACAGACCAAGGAACCCTAGAGTGCTTGCAGAACACAAGGACTGCAGCTTCCAAGAGTTCTGGAAGTTCTAAACCAAGAGATGACGGGGAATAACTTGGAGCATCAATTGCTTGAGAGAGACTGACTCAGAGAAAGTTGTTAATCATGATATTGTTCTTCTAATTGGTCCAGAAAATGAGGCGTTTCCAATTGAATGATGAACCAATAAAAACGGAATAACATTTAACAAACGTATTCCGACCACTGTCAAGCCAATATTTTTTTATATTTCTATAATTCAACTAGTCATTATCGGCCACCAGAAAAGAGTTCATCGTCGAATCTTTTAATGAACTTATTCGGATCCTCTGCCCGTACATAAATCGAGTTAGAATCGAAGAGGTATCATAGTATTGATTCATCAGTCAGTTTTATTGCAGAAGAAATAGCAAAACTTGTTCTTATTGTAGAGAGAAGGCAATGGAGTTTGAAGAGTAGAAAGTGCCCATGGTGTTTCGGAGCTTAAAGATGACTTTAAAATTGAAGAGTTGACCGGTCAACGGGCCAAGTAAGCGGTTAACGCTCCAGCTAACTTTTCGTCACCCATATTAACGGTTATTAACATCGAGTGACCAATTTATTACAAATCGATAATGTTAGTGACCAATTTGTTACAAATTGATAAATGTTAATGACCTATTTATAACTTTTGAAAATTCAGTAGGAAAAATGAAAATTTACTCAAAATTAGTGACCATTTGTGTAGTTTATCTTAATTTAAATTAAAGAATTTAATAATAGTTTTAATAAAAAATATTTTATTTTGAGACAAAAAGTACATGTAAGCTGTGTAGCTTACTCTAATATTAATATGACGTTAGGACCATTTGCATTTTCATGAAGAAAATGTCTTAATTTTACACTGATACAACTGGAGCCGTACGATGCACTGTTCATCTATTGCGGCTGGTTAGTGATTGCGTTGGTTCTAGTAGGATAAGTTCCGTGACCATTTTTTAGATTTCTTTTTAGAGCTCGTTCAGTAATTTCCCAAAGAGGGCGATGATTGGGCGGTTTTAGGTTGGTTAAAGTTAATCAAGCTATAATGGTTCGAGCTTTTCGTTAAGTGGGGGCTGCAAGTGGCTCCTTAGTGCTCTTTGTGTGATGAGGTGTTGGAGGATCGGAATCACTTCTTCGTGTCTTGTTCCTTTGCTCGACAGGTTTGTTTCTTGATTATGGATGCTTGTGGATTGAATGTTCAGGTTAAGGTTATTTGGAATGAGTCCAAAGGTACCGGGGCTAGTAAAATGTTGTTGCATGTTATTGTATGTGTTGCATGGAACTCTGTGATCACGAAAGGAATGGTAGGAATCATAGGAATAAGCCTAGATGTGTTCAAGTGATTTTTGAGGCTATTAGAAATATTGCGCGTGATAAGTTGTTGGAGTGTAAAGAAGTGTGCCCCTGCCCCGGTTGCTGTGTTGCGAGGCTGGGGTTTGACTTAGGTTGGCTATTTTTGGTGTGTATTGTGTTGCTTTTTTTTTTTATGAAATGAAAAATTGATTATCCAAAATAAAAATAATAATAATAGGGTAAACTACATCAGATACCATCAAATTTTAGGTATTATATCGTTTATACCACTGAACTTTCAACTTTGTCAATTATAACACTGAACTTTGATTTTTATTTTAATTATACCATTGAACTGTTAAATCGTTAACTACACGACGACGTGGCTAACGGCTGTCGACGTAGACACATCACCAAAACGACATCATTTTGATCTGGTTGTTAACAACTTAACATCTAATTGTATAATTAAAATGAAAATCAAAGTTCAGTGTTATAATTAGAAAAATTGAAAGTTCCGTGGTATAAACGATACAACATGTAAAGCTCGATGGTATGTGGTGTAGTTTACCCTAAATAATAATAATTCATTTTGGTATTATTTATGGTGTTTGATTTAAGGTTAAAAGGGTAATTTTATTTTTGTACTCGTTTCAATTCGGTAAAAGTCTTATTTAGCCCTTGTACTTCATGAATTGTATCAATGTTGCCTTTGGATGTCGAAAAATATTATTGATCGTAAATGAAATTGAGATACTTTCATTTTAAGTATCGGTTTTGGCTTGATAAGCCTTATTAAAAACCAAGTCTTAACAAACCCGAACACACTTGGTTCAATCTGTTAAAACTGACGGGCCTTAGTTATAACAACCTTGACAAGCCTAACAAACTCACCTAACTAATTTCCAATTGCAACAAACTTTGGCAAACATCAATAGGCCTAACGAAATTCTTCAACTTAGAACTGGATAAGTTTGTTTTTTGTCGTCTCGTTGATAGCAACGTTGTTTTTAGGTTAGGATGTTATGATCCAGGGCGGAACTAGAATGAAATTATGGGAGGGGTTAAGTTGTTTATCTTTAAAACTAATAAGGTTTTAAAAGGTAATTAAACCACAAAAAATAGAGGATTGAGGTTTAATTTCACTAATTTCAAAATTATCACGTCCTAGAAAGTAATTAAACCAAAAAAGTTAGTGATAAGACTCAATTTCATTTTACTTTAAAACTTCTCAAAAAATAATTAAACCATAAAATTTTAAGAGAGCCGGGACTTAATTTTAATGATTTCAAAACTTTTAAGAACTTAAAATACAATTAAATCATAAAAGTTAGGATGAGCCATGTCCCCTGTCCCCCTTCCGTCCCCACGTCATTCCACCACTGATTATGATCGTAGGATCATAGTGTTTTATTTGTACGTTGTTTCTCTTTGATCCGAGGTATAATTTGAGGTTTGTTTTTGTGATCATACTTTTTTGAAGTATTTACTGACAATCTTTTGATACTTTACCAATTTTATTTTTATTTATAAAATTAAATTTGTTGTGCGAAAGAATATAAATAAATTTCGTAAGACCAAATATTTAAATAGTTAATATTAGCAACTAATTACTACAAAACGCCAGACAAATCATTTGGTGATATATTTTACAAAATTTCCCAAAATTTTTTTTTTATATAATTAATAAATTCTAGAGCTGTTCCTATTGCAGACTGGAGTTTCCCTCCTTGCTGTCCAGGTTTTAGTGTCAAGCTCGAGGTCGCTCTTTTTCAAGTCGATTTGGTTGCAGCTCTTCGGTGCCTTTTCACAAGAGGTTATGTGGGTAGCTGTTCTACTACTTCTCTTTAAGTGGTGTTCAAGGCTGGTTTCTACTTTCGTTTGTAGCTGTTTTCATTACAGCAGGTTTGATGTTTCTTATAGGTCTCATGTTTCTTAGGCAGTGTTGTTTTATCAGGAGCCAGTTTCTGGTTTTCTTTTTTTTACACCTCATGGTTCACTCTTTTTCCTCCAAATAGGTTTAGGGAGGTTTTTAATGAGGTCCATGGGATGATGTACCTTGTATCTTTATTAATACAAAATACCCATTTTCAAAAAAATAAAAAATAAATGAAGTCATTTTTTCTACAAAATAATAACACAATAAATATCCATTTTATTGGTAAGAATTACCTCATCGTGGCCTCACCTTTCACTTACTGAAATGTCTATTTGTAGAAAATAGAACCATGAAAAGATGCAATTTTTTTAATTTCTCTTGTATTAATGTAAAAAGCTAGCTAGTGGACAACCCCATTCTTTTAGTAAGTGACCTGACCATGTCCAAAATTTAATTTACACCCTTACGTTAGTGGTCCTTTGTGGTCTCTACCTGCATTCATCTAGAAAAACAGAAAAGAAAATTTGTAATATCAATCAAGCTCATAAGAAAACAGATGCATCACCATCTACTCGAAATGTGGCATCTCCGATTAAATTATTTATAATCTTATTTAATCATTGATAACACACACAATGTAGGTGTCGCTGTTTGTACTAATGATCACAAGGGAGAACGACATTCCCTTTGACCATTAAGGTCACTCAATGAATTACTATTTCTTTAATTTAAAGTTATTGATGCTTAACATACGAGATGGTATTTATGGTGATTATGTTATGGATGGAGGAGACTGATTGATGATTTGTGATTCACCAAATCACCTTTCTTTCCTTAATGCTTCGTTCTAGTATTTATAATATGGGTTTCCCTTCCTACAACTTCATTGGTGGTGTAACACCCCAATTTAGGGGCTAAATTTTAGAAATTATAAAGTATTGGATTTAATTGGTATTTTGAAAGAAACAGTAGATTAAATTGTAAAATTTTAAAGTTGGTAGACCGTTTTAAGAAGTATAGGCAATTCAGTGGTTAAACTCATGATTTGGCCATTTTTCTTTAAGAGATAATATAAACCCATTCCCGTATGTTTTCTGGAAAAATTTTCTAATTTTCCTCCTCCGGTTAACCCACTTTCAACTCCGATTTACTCGCCGTTTGACCTCCGATCGACGATCCGAAACCACCATCGTGTTCGTTGTTGACTGAAGAACAAAACCCCTCAAACTTTTCGTTATGAATCGACGTCGTTTTTCGTTAATTTCAGTTGGAAGTATCATCGGTTATAACTCGATTTTCGTTGGTTTTTCGTCGATTTATGTCGGTCGGGCCACCCGTTTTCGACACCTCTCGCACCATCGTGTTCCTTGCATCGTTCCGTGTCCACCAGTGTCCTCCGTTTCTCCAGTGTCATCGGCGCGTGGAGGGGTGAGAAAATCAAAGTTTTCGATGTTTCGGAATGGAGCTCTCCGCCATTCAAAATTGTGAACCGAGCTTGGTAAGTGTCTCAAAATGCCTTAAAATAATTTTTAGGAATTTTTCCAGAAATTTTCTGACACTGTATCACTGTTCACACGCCGCACGCGCAGCCACTACGCGTAGGGTGTTAATTTTGTAATTAATTTTTGTTCAGGTGATATTTGTGTAAAATTCGGGTGTTAGTTTTGTAAATATTTGTGGAAGGTGGCGAATTTTGTAATTAATTTTGGTTAGGGTGATATTTGTGTAAAATAGTCGACTGTTGACCGATGTTGACCACTGTTGAACATAACTTTGACCGGCGTTGATCGGGTGTTGAACGACCTTTGACTTTGACCGGGTATACCTATTTTGATGTTTTTTGACGTCTTGAATTCGTTTTTGGGGTCCGTTTTGCTAAATTTGAACCCAGTAAGTTGGTTTTCACTGATTAATCACCCAATTCGATCAGTTTTTCAGAATTAAGCCCCGTTTTTTATGAAATATTTATTGTTTTGTGTCTGAGGAATTATTGGAAGATGATTTTAAGATCGAGGGTATTTGAATGGAATTTAATGGTTAATCAGTATGACATGAAAATAGAGGTAATACATTACTACCTCTTTATGCTTCATGGAACATGTTGATATTGGTAAATACATGAATAAGTTAATGTTTGGTCTCGTTTGTGTAGTTAATTAATTTCTACACTCGATCTGAATATGGTAAAAATTCGGTAATTGAATATGGTTCAGATGATTTATATAAGAAATTGAAGGATTGTTAGAATTAAATTAAAGTTATGTGATTAGTGATAAGGAATCAACCATGAACGTAGTGTATATTTATATCATCAAAGGTTAAACGTTAAGGGTACTTGGATGAGAAAATGAGAATACTCCGGTTTGGTAAAATTATGAAAATACCATTATGTTGTAAAATGTCAAGAATTGTCCCTGGAAGTTGGTTAATAACTCTAAAAAGACATATTGATTCGGTAAAATTACAGATGTGCATAAGAAATGTTAGTTTTGCTTATAAGATTTGGATAATTGGTTTTTAACCTCATGAGGGTTTGTGCAAGATGCTAGAAGGTTGTTAAGGGAATCATTTCAAGATCAGAGAATGTTCGGGAAAGCAATTAATCATAGGATCTCTAAATTATATTATTTTTGTTAAGAGTTAATACCGAAGTTATCTGTTTAAGAAATTACAAAAATACCCTTGAGAGGTAAAATAGTCTGAGTTAACCCTGTATGAGAAAGTACTTTGAGAATTCGTAATTAACTCGATAAATTACGGATTTAATGGTTAAGATCTGTCTTTGTACAGAAAATTACTGATAACATGTTTGTAACTTCTGAGAAAGCAATTGACCTGAAAATCTCCGAGTTAAGAATAAATTATTGAGGGTGCTATTTTGTCTGAATTGTTCGAAAGAACTGGAAAAGATGATAAGTTTGAATTCGATAATAAGATCGGACGAAAGGATATGATTGTAATACACTGGATCTGTAAAATGACCAGAATACCCCTAGAATGCAAATGACTTAAGAATATCACCAAGCCCGGGAATGAATGCATATCCTTAAGTTTTGAAATGACAGGAACAACATTAAGCACCATTGCATAAAGGAATACCAGTAATGAAATTGGGATATGTTATCCCTATATAAGCCTGTTTTCGTAACCAAGGCTGAATGGATTCTATAAGGATATTTCCGTTATGATTCTTTTATTAGAATAAGGGAGAGTTCTGAAGAAAATGTATACTCAACCTATTAAGGATTAATATAGTATCAATACTTCTGTAAAAGCTACGAAAAGATATGAAAGAACTATTGGAATTTTTATTGCTACAATTATGTGACATGAACAAATTTTGAGGACGAAATTCTTTTAATGAGAGGAGAATTGTAACACCCCAATTTAGGGGCTAAATTTTAGAAATTATAAAGTATTGGATTTAATTGGTATTTTGAAAACGATGGATTAAATTGTAAAATTTCAAAGTTGGCAGACCATTTTAAGAAGTACAAGAAATTTAGTGGCTAAACTCATGATTTGACTATTTTTCTTTAAGAGATAATATAAACCCCCCATTCCCGTATGTTTTCTGGAAAAAATTTCCAGTTTTTCTCCTCCGGTCAACCCACTTTCAACTCCAATCTACTCGTCGTCCGACCTCCGATCGACGATCCAAAACCACCATCGTGTTCGTTGTCAACCGAAGAACAAAACACTTCAAACCTTTCCTTATGAATCGACGTCGTTTGTCGTTAATTTCAGTTGGAAGTATCGTCGGTTATAACTCGATTTCCATTGGTTTTTCGTCGATTTACTTCGATCCGGCCACCCGTTTTCGACACCTCCTGCACTATCGTGTTCCTTGCATCGTTCCACGTCTACCGGTATCCTCCGTTTCTCCGTCGTCACCGGCGCGTGGAGAGGTGAGAAAATCAAAGTTTTCGATGTTTCAAAATCGAGTTCTCCGCAGTTCAAAATTGTGAACCGAGCTCGGTAAGTGTCTCCAAATGCCTTAAAATAATTTTAAGAATTTTTTCGGGAATTTTCTGACACCGTATCACTGTTTATGTGCCGCCATTGCGCGTAGGGTGTTAATTTGGTTATTAATTTCTGTTAGGGTGATATTTGTGTAAAATTCGGGTGTTAGTTTTGTAAATATTTGTGGAAGGTGGCTAATTTTGTAATTAATTTCGGTTATGGTGATATTTGTGTAAAATGGTCGACTATTGACAGTTGACCGGTGTTGACCACTGTTGACCAGAACTTTGACCGGCATTGACCGGGCGTTGAACGACTCTTGACTTTGACTGGGTATACCTATTTTGACGTTTTTGATGTCCTGAATCTATTTTTGGGGTCCGTTTCGCCAAATTCGAACTCGGTAAGTTGGTTTTCACTGATTAATCACCCGATTCTATTCGTTTTTCGGAATTAAGCCCCATTTTTTATGAAATATTTATTTTTATGTATCTGTGGAATTATTGGAAGATGATCTCAAGATCGAGGGTGTTTGAATGGAATTTAATGGTCCATCAGTATGACACAAAAATCGAGGTAATACATTACTACCTCTTTATGCTTTATGGAACATGTTGATATTAGTAAATACATGAATAAGTTAATGTTTGGTCTCGTTTGTGTAGTTAATTAATTTCTACACTCGATCTGAATATGGTAAAAATTTGGTAATTGAATATGGTTCAGATGATTTATATAAGAAATTGAAGGATTGTTATAATTAAATTAAAGTTCTGTGATTAGTGATAAGGAATCAGCATGAATGTAGCGTATATTTATATCATTAATGGTTAAACGTTAAGGGTACTTGGATGAGAAAATGAGAATACTCCGGTTTGGTAAAATTACGAAAATACCCTTATGTTGTAAAATGTCAAGAATTGTCCCTGTAAGTTGGTTAATAACTCTGAAAAAGACATATTGATCCGGTAAAATTACAGATGTGCATAAGAAATGTTAGTTTTCTTAGAAGATTTGGATAACTGGTTTTTAACCCCATGAGGGTTTGTGCAAGATACTAGAAGGTTGTTAAGGGAATCATTTCAATATCAGAGAAT